TCTGAGGTGATGTAGATATCTCACTGCCACACATACACCTCTGGCGGCCCTAGGCTGTTTAATACACAAATCAAAGTAAAGTCTAGCCACTTCTTTAACTTAAATATTTCATATCCATTAACCTAACAATATTTCGACCATTTAACGCTTGAAAGAATTTCTTATTTAGCAACCAACTAACCTGGACTATGAATCTGAATAATGGACTTTCATATACACACTGTCATATAACCCATATGGCAAATCTGATTACAGCAAGGTTTACTCAAGACTGACTAAAGCTCATTGTAAAAGCAACAAAACCTTTTCCTTAATCATACGAAATCCCGAGCCCTTGATGTTTTCATTTCGTCAGCCATGTTGCTCAGCTTTCCATGACTGATCTACAACGACCTCAGTCGACCTCGGGCAAACGTCGCCAGCCCGTGAAGGACTACTTATAAACTAGAACAATTATACACACATTTGCATCCTAAAAAATACCGTCAATATTTATCCATGAGTACCTATCACCTGTCAAGTATATGTACATGCATTTTATAAATCATCAAAGTCATTGTATGCTTAGATATCTTACATACCTCATCTAAGTTATTGCATGCGTAAATACCCAATACGTCTTAGCAGTCATGTATCTCAACAAAGCCATTTCTATGGTGAATACATCTGTGATCTGAAGAAAAAACAGTGGAACAGGTCGCGTAAACGCACCATGCTTCGCGGCAAACCGAGGAGCATGACTTTTCACGTGCGGTCGGATCACGTGCTCTTGACCACGTGGGAAACGGTCGAATCGGTCGAATCGGTCAGTTGAGGTTATGCATGGGTTTAGGTCTAACTTGAGTTCAGACGTCAGTTGAGTTCAGGTTTCCCTTGAGTTCGGTTGTTTCTTGAGTTGGGTGACAGCTCGTCAAAATAGGATTTAGATAGACTGATATAAAGAATGTATTAGTGAATCGAAATAGAAGTTCCATAGAGCTAGCTGCTATAGAGCTAGATACTGTAGATAGTAGACTTACGCTGCAATAAAGCTAGATAGTGTAGATAATAGAATTTAAGGTATCACATTAAGTTTCTTGCCTCTTTAGCATTTGTTATAAGAGATTCACGCTTAGTTCCCCAAATAGCATATTTCGAAACTTTAATTTTAGTTAGATTGTTTTAGTTAAACTGTCTTACCAAACTCTGTTTACTTTATATATATCCCCAAAGTCACAGTATGTACCTTTTAGTATATACCCATGTAAACTTAGGGTAGTACTACAGGGGTGCAATACGGATGACGTCCTCAAATTCCGTATTGCACCCCAGATTCCGTATTGAACCCCTGCCGGTTCTACATTGCTACGCTATGATTTGTTTTATTAAGTAACTAATTAATGCAAGATAAGAATGAATGAATGAATGAATGAATATTATATTCGAAGGTGTCATGGGTGCAGAGAAACAACTCGAACGCGTTGTTTCTCTGCGCCCATGACATCATCTCGTTCAATACAAAACATCCAAATGCACTAGTATGACGTTATATATATACTGTAAGCCATTAAAAACGCAATTTGACATTCATACTTTCTTTACTCACACTAATTTCAACATATATAAACCTCACTGGCAGATATGTTTTAAGTGAACATCTGTGAATAATTTCATCTGAAAATGTCCAGTCAACAACAACATCAGTGACGCAACAACGACATCAAACAAAGGAGGGGCCACTTGCAGTCAATATCGTGTGTGTCCACCGTGCGCTGCAAGACATGCTCGCAGTCTTTGGGGCATTGAAAGACACACATTTCTCAGGAACAGCTGTTGGATGGTCTGCAACCTCTGATGGTCTGTGGTCTGATCATGACACCACCCCCTCCAAAACGATCATGTTCAAGGACACAGTTTGGCGCAAGTCTTTCTCCTTTACGTCGATAAATCTGTTGACGTCCATCTGCAAAGGATAAGTTAAACCTGGATTCATCTGACAAAATGACATCTGGCCATGTCCTGTTGCCAAGATTGGCCCCATTTGCTGCCCATCGCTGTCTGGCAAGTCTGTGGCGATGCAATAAGGTTGGACCACGGTACGGGTGACGACACCGGATGTTGAAGGCAACAAGGCGTCCTTGCACCTTTTGGGCGCTGAAATGACGTTGACTTGTCCCAATTGTCCTCCTTGTCTAATCATCAGCTGTTTGGAACCGATTTCGCAAGTGTGAAACTCGGATAGTGCGGTGGTGCACCAGGTCGCCGACGATCAGCAACACTTCCGGTAGCCCGAAAACGTTGTCTGAGTCGACTTACAGTGGATGGATGCACATTAAAGTGCCTGGCAATCATCACATCTGAAGCACCTTGGCTGACCATACCGATAACCTGATTCCTTTCGTCTTGTGTCAAGTGTGGCATTTTCTCCAAGTGATTGAGTTCCACAATTCCTTGTGCTTTTACAGGGCCTGGGTGCAGGTAATGCATGTGCACAACGTGTTTCATGAATGTGGTTGTGTTTACGAGAAATGTCAAAGGTTCAGTTTTAAGTATCAAAGTTCATGTGAGAGGAATGCTCCGGGACTCGAACTCGAAATGGGCCAGAATAACAGCCTTTTATCCCTACATCCTCTGTATCGCAGGAAAAAATCTTCCATAGAACGTTTGTAAGTTTCAGGACAACAAATACCAATTGCGTTTTTAATGGCTTACAGTATATAATCGGAATCACTGTATGTATGATTTGTCTGACCAGATATGAGGTATCAGTTCGAAAGAATAACCAGTCTTGACTTGCCACTTAAGGAAGTCAGTCTTGACTATTTTCAGAAACAAATTCCATTTGGTGTAAAAGACAAAATCTGTGTGAAACGTATATGAATGGATCATAGACAATCAGTGATGATGCCAGGTGTACGCGAAAACGGTAATCATGTCCTACCCTACCGGTAGCACCCGTCATTTACAAAATTCGCATAAAAAAGTCATTGTATACCTAAGTACGTCTGACCAAAGTCATATTTTACGTATATACCTTATGTGTCTCGACAGTCATTATATACGAAAATACCTCCTACCTCTGACCAAAGTAATTAAACCATTCATTTCTGCTGCCAGCATTGAGCTGGTAAATATAGCTCCTTCCCGTCTTCTTTCTTCTCCTCCTTGGCAATAGGTTAGGCCACAAGTTGACCTAACATTAACATCATTTAAAAAAGCAGAAACTAATGAATTACAATATAAACAAGAATATATTCAATTAAAAAGTAAATATAATACATACAAATCCTTATTTACTGATGGGTCCAAGTGTAGTGGCGCATTGGCTTGTGCCACTGTCATTGGATCCCGAACAATCTCTTCTCGATTACCAAATAACAGCTCTATTTTCAGAGCAGAAGCTAACGCCAGATTAACAGCTCTTAAATATATTAATAGACACCCCAAATATAAACAATACATCATATTTTCAGATTCTTTTTCTTGCCTTCAGGCTATAAAATATCTCTCTTGTAAACATCCACTTTTAATTGAAATAATTGAATTGTATAATGATCTTGCAACTGGCCAATACGATATCGTCTTTTGTTGGTAACCCAGCCACGTTTGCATTTCTGGGAACACTATGGCCGATCTTGCTGCCAAGGCAGCACTCAAGAAATCTGTGACACCACTTCTTATTCCATACTCTGATTACAAAGCTAGCATTAGAACTTACATCCCTGATCTGATGCAAAAGAAGTGGGACACCCAAGTAGGTATTAACAAATTACATGAAATAAAACCCTATATTGGTTACACCTACTTGGGTTGTCAGTCCAGATTTGAAGAGGTCATCATGCGACGATGTCGCATTGGTCATACAAGGTATACTCATAAATACTTGTTAAAAGGTGAAGATCCTCCGTTTTGTATCCCTTGTGATGAGAGTCACAGTCAAGCATCTTCTACTTGACTGTGTTGAATTCTCCATCAAAAGGGATAAGTATTTCAATGTGAAAACAGTTAAGGATCTTTTTAACACTGTTAATTTTCATTTAATTATTGGCTTTTTAAAAGAAATTGATTTAATAGATGAATTTTGAATAATATGTTCTGTAGATAGATGTATTTTAATGATTGGTAGTTTAGATTAGTAACTTGTATTGTTAGTGGCTGTACCCTCAAAGGGGGTTAAAGTACTGTAAACTTATTGTCACGTCACGTTCTCGTCACGATATGGCTGAAATATTGCCGATGTGACGTTAAATATTAACTCACTCACTCACTCTGACCAAAGTCACATTTACGTATATACCGTATGTGTCTCGACAAAGTTATTTTACGTAGGTACTTTATCTATCATAAACAAAACTATTATGGCTTTCTAGGCAAGAATAATATTGTGAAAGCAAGACAATGTACTGAGACAGTGTAATCCCAAATATAACATATGTTAGAAAAACAAGAACGTTTATGCTCTTCAAACCAACAGTGAAGAGGTCAGCTGGATTGAGCAAAGAAAACATGGGATAAATATATCAATAACGGTTATTTGGTCTCACAGGACTCAAGCAAAAAGGGATAACGGGATTTTAGTGACAACTTGAATAAAAGTCACGGTTGGGTTAATGTTTCCTTTACCCGGAGGCATATTGGACTCATTGTCACCCCTTAAAACATAGATGTGGAATATGTTTTTTTTTAAAAAACACAACAAAAACAACCCACATCTATACTAAGTTATGAACTTTACCAAAATTGTCGATGTAAAGTGAGATCTATCTTCTGCACTAATATGTAGTTGATCAATATTTAGTTCATTCCGAAAGGTCATGAAGGTCAACAATATACTGGATAAACGGGCGTTTCGGTTCAGTGAACAGTGATTGTTATCCGTGCTCGACAACCCGGACTTAGCGGTACTGGCTTCCACACAGTAGCGATGCATTAGTTGAAATGAATAATAGGAAACAACAAGTGTCGGCATGCCAGGGGAGTCGTGACCCGCGTCAGTCATGACCGATCCTAGTGAGGAGCACAACACAAAACACAGTACAACCGGGTTAGTGCTCGCTCTGGACTGAAACACAAAACGGTGATATCGAAAAGAGGGACTAAACTAATGGAACAACGAACAATCTTTACAAATCGAATCGGATTTGATTTGAATCAGGCGGCCGTTGATGGATATATATAACCTTCGACATATATATTGAAGGTTGAGATAAACATATATTTCTCTACAGCTGTCTAGTATTATATTAGATTTACTGGGATAATATTTGTATATGGCCAGTCATCATGTATGTGTGAAGCCGGATATATGTGTGTGTGTGTCACGCATGGATCTCTGCTCATCATTGCCTAAAGGATAGCTGCGTGGATGTGTTCCTAGTGGTCTTGTTGTCATTGTCCCGCTGTCAATAGAGAGACACGCCCACACCATGTCTGTTAAAAGAAGCAACAGCAAACAGTTGCGCGACTATCCCGGGTACTCCGGCAACTTCACACACGTCTTTGGAGACGACGCAATGGAAAAACCATACCGTAGAAACTGGGAACCTCCAGCCGACTACCAGCAGAGCATGGTAAGAACGCTTGTTGAACAATTTAATGTAATTTTCAACATTCTACATTGTGATCACCGAGTGTCTACATAGCTATATAACACACCACGTATTGTATAAGTAGATGTGTAACTCATAGTTTATCTGATGAAAACTATAATATTAATGCTCGACTGTTTATATAAATGTATACAAATTCTGTGAAAAACAGAATGAAACACATCCAGTGGAGCAGGATACGCTCATCCTTTCACGAACCCAAGAATCGTCATGACAGACTCATGTATCTGTAAAGTCAGAATAGTGCAACGGACTTTGGGTTAAGTAGACATATTTCTTTTGATCATGGATATTGTTTTGTCGTTTGACTTTATTTTTATTTACTTTCTTCACACACACGTGCAACGCGCGTTCTCTCTCACACAGGGTGGACATACACTTTGAAGTAATCTCTCTGCGCATTTCTGAATATTGACTGGTTACCCCTAATCTTTCAAGTTTTCGACGTTTCAAAGGGAACATACTATTTCATTCCATAAACTGTATCAAACAAACAGAACGACGGCAACTCAGATGGTGAAAGTATATCCGCAGGGAGAGAAGTTATGAATTTCTGACTGCGCCACAAATAGAATGACTGAGATTGATTTACACCCATGTGTTTGTTTCACTGCGTGATATTATCATGTCGTATAATTGTGTCAAGTCAATCAGTATTGAACATAAACATTGGCTTTATGAATGACCGTAAACGGAGCCTAATTTTGCCATTGTGTTTAGTTATTGCATATTATTGACTCTGATGTAAGATGGACAACACCAGCCGTAGATGAAATATGTACAGAAATCAAACAATATGTGTCATATACCGCTTGAAACAAAAAAAAAGAAAGATTCGTCAGTAATTATAACAGGAACGAAACGCGAAATGAAACATTTTATGGTTTATGCCCTTGAAGCAACCCCCATCCACATTGGAAGTTCAACTGGTTGCCACAGAAACGAAGAAAATAACAAAAGTAACAACATCCCAATGGCACTCGGTACTAGTTTAGTCCAAGTCTGATGGTTCGTGTTATGGTCCTGAAACAAAACTTGTCTCACGGAACACGTTTCTGCGTCCTCTACAAACATTCGCGGGGTGTAATGAAAACAAACAATTCAAGTAAACGTGCATGAACGAATATGTTTTGCAAAACGTGTATTATTTTTTGCAACAATGAAATGGAATAATCACCATTCCCCTTGTCATCCATGTTTAATTGTATAACTGCACACCAGAGTATTTGCCGACTGATGGGTCACTGTTATTTTTCGGAATGGAATTGTCGAAAGTAAGTCTGTATTTTTGCAAGTGGATCGAAGACCGAACACATCTAGGCAATGTGTGCCCGTCTTTACAGAATACATATTGTATGATGTTTGTATTTCATACTCTTGTTGGTGGTTTTCGGATGAATACATTGAGCAGAAATGATGTGGACATGATGTGCGTTCGTTCGTAAAAAGCATAATGCGTTTTAAGGATTAACCGATAATACGTTAACTGATTGTCCATCATCATCATCATGATGATGAAAATAGATTGTTGTCACAGCTGATAATTGATACTTGACACCTGTGTGAAACACCTGAAGAAAGTTTGAAAAATTAGTGTTCAGACAGAAATGCATGTTTGATTTAGTTTGATTGATACAAGGATGAAGCGTAGCATGGTGGTTGTCACAGTAATGTTACCATAAATGTTAAATGATGTGGTAATGTTGACAACAGCTTTAGCAGTCAGGGAATCTACAGTCACCGTAAACCTTAAAAACGACGACTGAAATTTTCTATGGATTGTAAAAATACTTAACTGCATGATTTCCAGACTATAAAGATATGTTATTTTAGAAGTTAATCTTGCATTACATTATCATGAAAAAAGTTCACTGAAGTTTGCAATACAAAATATTTGTTCACGAACGGAAATAATTGCTCATTTATATGATTACGCAATGAAGAGTGTCCAATTCGAAGAGGTCGCAAGCAGGTCGTGGGAATGGGGCAAATACCTTGTGTAATCCGGGGACTTAGCAATTCATATTCATGTGATGATGTATTATATCATGTAAGCGTGTAGGTCTAGCATAGACTTGGAGGGATTAAAGATAACTAGTATGTACACACGCATATGTATTCATATCTTGGATTCATACATTAGGGTCTAGTGCGGAATCTTCTCAAGTACCTTCCTATTTGATTAATTATGTGACCAAACCACACGCTTTTATGATTATTTGGGTCAATCTCCATATGTTAATGAAGAAGATATTTGCATGTATTTTAAGACATAAATTAATTCATGTTGACCGAGTTACAAGAGCCTCGACTCAGTGTCAAACACTACTTACTGTGATAGGTAACAAATCTGTAGGACAACAATGCTTAATTCATAACGTGATGTTATTGAGCTACAACAGATCTATAACTTCGAGTGGGTCACACGGAACGGTATTAGTGTAGGCAATAACGTTTTATGGGTTTTGATTCAGTTTGAGATATACTACACACGCCCCGGGGTGTTAGAAGACGGGTATTTGTTACTGAGATGTATAACGCGACCATCCTTCATAATTCATCAGTATAAATAGGAGTCTTAATATACACTCAATCGGCCACATCCATGCCCCTTGTATGACAGTTCTCACCAGTCGCATTTATCATTGTCACTGTACACCACACACACTTGACACATCTTGGTGTTTTTTCAACGTCTGTTGTTGACTCAGCTAACATGACGCACATGCATGTGTGTAAGTTTATTTGCTAATGAGGCCACGAGATTCCGAGGATCATATCAACAAGTCACGTGTTTTGTAGTACACATTACATGTAAACATACTTGAGAAAAAAGTTATAGAAAACACTGTACACACATATATACACTTTTGTATGTACAATGTTACCAACGATTAATAATGAATGAAAAACAGTAGCAGTACATACTACTGAATAGGAAGTGTGATCATATAGGTAGGAATAGGATACTGAATAGGTAGGGGTGGGGTGGGGGGTGGGGGTGGGGTATGAGCCAGGTGGTTGAAGCGCGTCTCTAAAAGCAATAAATCCAAACTCACTCACTTACTCTATTTCCTTCGTACGTGTTCAAAAGACGGAAGTCAATAATCCTCCGTTATTTAAAGACCGCCGCTGTAATAGTGTGAAGTGTTACTTTACACACACAGTTTGCGAATTGATTGTTTTGCAAATAGCGAATCGATTTGAATATATGAGGGATTTTTTGCCGCTTTGAACAATATACCAGTTGACAGCAGTACTACCCATACCTCTACGAGTGATATGACTGAGTGAGTGAGTTTAGTTTACGCCGCACTCAGCAATATTCCTATGTGCCACACAATCCAGTGATCAACAGCATGAGCATCGATCTGCGCAATTGGGAACCGATGACATGTGTCAACCAGGTCAGCGAGCCTGACCACCCGATCCCGTTAGTTGCTTCTTACGACAAGCATGGGTTACTGAAGATCAATATTCTAACCCGGACCTTCACGGGTCCGGTGATATGAAGTCAATGCAGACAACAATATATTCATCTTGCTACATTTCTAGCACATCAATATTGACAGCTTTTTAAGTGAGTGCTTTTGTACATGTTCATTGCCGATATTAGTTCTTGCTTGGAGTACGAACGGAAGGGAATCACTGGAACGATAGTGACCCCTTTGAACATATCCATATTTAACCAAATTCATACACAGGTATATCCGGCAATAACTTTTAAACTTTTTCTGATTCTTCGTGAAAGAAAATTGCAATGTAAGTAGGTTATTAAATTCTTCGTGATTATAAAATCAACACTAAACCTACAGCAAAAATGATCACGAAACTCAAAAGACAAATAAGTAGTTGTCGCCTAATATCAAGTTACTTGTCTTTCTAGGACCTGAGCGGCAACTGGGGGCGAGGCAACATGTTCCATCAGAAATACCAGCCTCCGTCCCATACAGAGTCCGAGGAATGCAACTCTGACGGAAACCCAAAGACCTTCAAAAGGGTACTGACCCGGTTCGCTGAGCGGACCTCCATGCAAGGGATTCCCTACATCAACACTTCAAAGACCTGGTACGCAAAACTGGTGTGGACGGTGCTTCTCTTAGGAGCCATGGTGGCCATGGGCATCCACCTCTACACACTCTGCTCAAGTTACTTTCTTTTTGAAAGACAGACGCAGATAAAGCTTGGCTTCCAGAACCTCAATTTCCCCTCGATCACCTTCTGCAATGTGAACCCTGTTAAATCTTCGATGGCCTCGAGGGGCAGTAAGGAACTGAAGAATTATTTACGGACGATTAGACCAGAGGCTGTTGCTTCTTCAATTAAGGTTAGTGCTTTTGCTGCATTTGAAATACATAATCATAATATGGGGGTGACGTTGATCACATCTATAAATACAATAACATCAAGAAAATCCAAATGATGATGATTATGGTGCACGCCTCTCTAGTGTGGGTCTAGATGGGAAGAATACATTTTTAACCTGAACCAAACTTTCTAAACATCCTCCGCGGCAAAGTCATCCTCTCACCGAAATACAAACCAAACAAACTGATACAGAAGAGGTACAGAAGCGATCTAAGAAAAGCAACAGGAATACCACAAATAAATGGAAATTATTCAAGCAGCATTGCCATAAAGCCAAGCCAACGTATGGATCCCTGATATAGGAGAACCATGGCATATTCTTCCTAAATTACCTGATACATTTGTCACTTGTTGCCCACACATGGGCTCACAAAACGAAGTACCTGATGTTGGCAACGAAGATTTTATTTTCTGTTTGCTCCTAATTCCGACCGATCTGACACTAATCTTTCTCATGATCTAGTGTGTGTTATGTTCGTGTCATTTGAACTCTCCGAATTGCAGATTGAGAAACGGAGACAACTAAACAATTTAACTAAGTTTTTTCCAAAACATTCCCAGAGTCAATGATGACAATGACATTATTTCTGTGATTCTCATTTCTTACTGTTCTTTTCATGGCATTGCCTGTACCGTATACGCTGCTGGATGATTGCCATGCAGTTTTAAAGGACAAAAAATATACATGGGTAATAAACCAAATCATCTTTAGAAAATGACAATGAAAGATGCTGTTACGTCAGTGTTAAGTCAGTTAAGTCAGTGTGGGATGAACGTATGTGTGTTGAAGGGGTGTGTGGGTGCGTGTGTGTGTGTTTTGGTGTGGTGGCAGTCGGATGTATGTGGATGGCATTGAATGTGAAGAAATGTAAGAAATTGTTTATAGGAGGGGGTTTTATGCAGTATGGTATTATGTATGGATACGTAAGTGTGTGTGCATGGGGGTTGTTTGTGGCACTGTTTGATGGTTGTTGCAGTATGTGTGTTGACTAGATGTGTGCTATTTTAATATCATCATGGTTTTATTGTGTGTCTCATAGGCCTAAATAGGCCGAACTGTCACGGGATGTGACATATTGTAACAAACAATTTTTCTTCTTTTTTTCTCCTTCTTCTGCAACGCAATACAGAAAAAGAAACAACCCACTTTATTGTCGCCCAATGCTTCCATCAAACCAAACACCTAACATGAGGCAACAATCTGTTGACTTTGTATTTCAGAAGCCATCGTTTATCCCAAACCAGCGCCCAAATCAGCAAGGAAGCCCAACTCCACCAATTCCTGGTCGCAGAAAACGCTTCGTTGAGAGCTTTGAGTACAACTTCACTAACCTTAGGAGACCAGAGTTGGAACCACCTGATGAGAAGCCACGCCCTAATTTCTTTTCTGGCCAAAGGTCAACACTCCATGAAATCCGCAAGGAATTCACTCACCTGTATAGCTTAGAAAACAGGTAGATGTCGGACCTAGTATGTCTCATGTCACATCACACACTATGTACTGACTGACTGACTGAGTTTAGTTTTACGCCGCTTTTAGCAATATTCCAGCAATATCACGGCGGGGGACACCAGAAATGGGCTTAACACATTGCGCCCATGTGGGGAATCGAACTCTGGTCTTCGGCGTGACGAGCCAACGCTTTAACCACTAGGCTATCCCACCGCCCCAACCCACTATGTAGATATCGCACGTCCTATATCACCTGACAGCTCACACTATAGGAAGACATCGCACGCAGTATACCCCATGACAACTAACACTATAGGTAGACATCGCACGTAGTGAATTCCTTGACAGCTCACACTATAGAAAGACATCGCACGCAGTATACCCCATGACAGCTCACACTATAGGTAGACATAGCACGTAGTGTATCCCATGACAGCTCACACTATAGGTAGTCATCGCACGCAGTATATCCCATGACAGCTCACACTATAGGAAGACATCGCACGCAGTATATCCCATGACGGCTCACACTATATAAGGACAGCTCACACTATAGGTAGACATCGCACGCAGTATATCCCATGACAGCTCACACTATAGGTAGACATCGCACGCAGTATATCCCATGACAGCTCACACTATAGGTAGACATAGCACGTAGTGTATCCCATGACAGCTCACACTATAGGTAGTCATCGCACGCAGTATACCCCATGACAGCTCACACTATAGGAAGACATCGCACGCAGTATATCCCATGACAGCTCACACTATAGAAAGACATCGCAAGCAGTATATCCCATGACAACTCACACTATAGGTAGACATCGCACGCAGTATATCCCATGACGGCTCACACTATAGGAAGACATAACGCAGTATATCCCATGACAGCTCATTATAGGAAGGCATCGCACGCAGTATACCCCATGACAGCTCACACTATAGGAAGACATCGCACGCAGTATATCCCATGAGAGCTCATACTATGGGAAGACATCGCACGCAGTATACCCCATGACAGCTCACACTATAGGTAGACATAGCACGTAGTGTATCCCTTGACAGCTCACACTATAGGTAGACATCGCACGTAGTGTATCCCTTGACAGCACACACTATAGGAAGACATCGCACGCAGTATACCCCATGACAGCTCACACTATAGGTAGACATCGCACGCGGTATATTCCATGACAGCTCACACTATAGTTAGACATCGCACCTAGTGTAACCCTTGACAGCACACACTATAGGTAGACATCGCACGTAGTGTATCCCTTGACAGCTCACAGTATAGGTAGTCATCGCACCTAGTATGTCACATAACTGCTCAAACAAAATGTAGATATCACACCTAGTATGTCACATGACAGCTCACACAACACAACATGTAGATATCACACCTTGTATGTCACATGACAGCTCACACAACACAACATGTAGCTATTACAACTAGTATGTCAAATGACAGCTCACATAACACAACATGTAGATATCACACCTAGTATGTCACATGACAGCTCACACAACACAACATGTAGATATCACATCTAGTATGTCACATGGCTGCTCGCACAACAGAACATGTAGATATCACATCTAGTATGTCACATGGCTGCTTGCAGAACACAACATGTAGATATCACACCTAGTATGTCACATGGCTGCTCACACAACACAACATGTAGATATCACACCTAGTATGTCACATGGCTGCTCACACAACACAACATGTAGATATCACACCTAGTATATCACATGGCTGCTCACACAAGACAACATGTAGATATCACACCTAGTATGTCATATGACAGCTTATTGAACACAACATGTAGATATCACACCTAGTATGTCACATGGCAGCTCACACAACACAACATGTAGATATCACACCTAGTATGTCAAATGACAGCTCACAGAACACAACATGTAGATATCATACCTAGTATGTCATATGACAGCTCACACAACACAACATGTAGATATCACACCTAGTATGTCACATGACAGCTCACACAACACAACATGTAGATATCACACCTAGTATGTCACATGACAGCTCACACAACACACCATGTAGATATCAGACTTAGTATGTTACATGACAGCTCACACAACACAACATGTAGATATCACACCTAGTATGACATATGACAGCTCACACAACACAACATGTAGATATCACACCTAGTATGTCACATGACAGCTCACACAACACAACATGTAGATATCATACCTAGTATGTCATATGACAGCTCACACAATACACCATGTAGATATGATACCTAGTATGTCACATGGCTGCTCACACAACACAACATGTAGATATCATACCTAGTATGACACATGACAGCTCACACAACACAACTTGTAGATATCACACTTAGTATGTCACATGACAGCTCACAGAACACAACATGTAGATATCACACCTAGTATGTCAAATGACAGCTCACACAACAGAACATGTAGATATTACACCTAGTATGTCACATGACAGCTCACACAACACAACATGTAGATATCACACCTAGTATGTCAAATGACAGCTCACACAACACAACATGTAGATATTACACCTAGTATGTCACATGACAGCTCACAGAACACAACATGTAGATATCATACCTAGTATGTCATATGACAGCTCACACAACACACCATGTAGATATGACACCTAGTATATCACATGACTGCTCACAGAACACAACATGTAGATATCATACCTAGTATGTCACATGACAGCTCACACAACACACCATGTAGATATGACACCTAGTATGTTACATGACAGCTCACGGAACACAACATGTAGATATCACACCTAGTATATCACGTGGCTGCTTACACAAGACAACATGTAGATATCACACCTAGTATGTCATATGACAGCTCATTGAACACAACATGTAGATATCACACCTAGTATGTCACATGGCTGTTCACACAACACAACATGTAGATATCACACCTAGTATGTCACATGACAGCTCACACAACACAACATGTAGATATCATACCTAGTATGTCATATGACAGCTCACACAACACACCATGTAGATATCACACCTAGTATGTCACATGACAGCTCACAGAACACAACATGTACATATCATACCTAGTATGTCATATGACAGCTCACACAACACAACATGTAGATATCACACTTTGTATGTTACATGACAGCTCACAGAACACGACATGTAGATATCACACCTAGTATGTCAAATGACAGCTCACACAACACAACATGAAGATATTACACCTAGTATGTCACATGACAGCTCACACAACACAACATGTAGATATGACACCTAGTATGTCACATGACAGCTCACAGAACACAACATGTAGATATCACACCCAGTATATCACATGACAGCTCACAGAACACAAAATGTAGATATCATGCCTAGTATGTCACATGACAGCTCACACAACACAACATGTAGATATCACACTTATTATTGTTACATGACAGCTCACACAACACAACATGTAGATATCACACTTATTATTGTTACATGACAGTTCACACAACACAACATGTAGATATCACACCTAGTATGTCATATGACAGCTTATTGAACACAACATGTAGATATGACACCTAGTATGTCAAATGACAGCTCACACACCATAACTTGTAGATATCACACCTAGTATGTCACATGCAATATAACTAACACACAACAGGTACATATCACGCTTACCACTTCGCACAAGACAGGTACATATCACACGTACCAGTTCGCACAAGACAGGTACATATCACAAGTACCACTTCGCACAAGACAGGTACACATCACAAGTACCACTTCGCACAAGACAGGTACATATCACAAGTACCACTTCGCACAAGACAGGTACATATCACACGTACCACTTCGCACAAGACAGGTACATATCACAAGTACCACTTCGCACAAGACAGGTACATATCACAAGTACCACTTCGCACAAGACAGGTACATATAACACTTACCACTTCGCACAAGACAGGTACATATCACACGTACCACTTCGCACAAGACAGGTACATATCACACGTACCACTTCGCACAAGACAGGTACATATCACACGTACCACTTTGCACAAGACAGGTACATATCACACGTACCACTTCGCACAAGACAGGTACATATCACACTTACCACTTTGCACAAGACAGGTACATACAACTAATTCTCGACAACAGTCTTCTTGTTGCTTTTTGGGACAAGTCGGTAGCTTTGTTTGATAAACGAAGACCAGGTTCAGATTCATATATCTGTGTGTCGACACCTGCATCTCGCCTTGAGGTAGCTAGAGTATCATTAAGAGACCCAGTTCCATCCCGTCGTTTGCTTCTTCTGTCTGACTTTTAGTATTTATAATACTGGTTTAAATGTGAACGCGAACGACAACATAAGGTTTTAATATGAATACTATATCCTGCATGACCATGCCCTAAATCTGACAGCAATGGCCCCTGTAAACATATTTCCGTATTACATGTCTATCCAGTCATTACTAAATTATATATTGTATTGTTCTATTCATTGTCATTCACATCGGTTTAAACTTGGGAACTAGCAACCACAAGACAACGGGCGTCAACGGGACAACGGGATGTTTTTACAATGTTCATACAATGTTCGGATCTATTTGAACTTTTATGCATAATGGAATTCGTTTCGAGACTGATATTCTATGTTTATTGTCGAATAGGGAAACCCGGATCGCGATGGGCCATTCCATCTCAGACATGCTGGTGTCATGTGCATTCGCCGGCGTGGTGTGCAACGACAGGTGCGTGGACGTGTACACATCTAATTACTGCTATATCAATTATGTACTCAACGCTCACATTACTAGTGAATTAATTTTACGATGCTGCTAAACAATCTACATGCATTTCTAAGATTGATTCATACACAGTTTCATCTCTTCGCTTATGCTTATACGATTTGAAAAAATGTTTAGAATTACAATTGTGTAATGTTTATGAAACAGTTACTTTTGGGTATATTCATTGTTGTTGCCGTCTACTTGAGTAAATTAGACAATTGCATCAAATTATAAGTAATTATACAAGTTGTACAGTTCATTTCTATTCCTAGCGGGGTCAGTGACTATGTTGACGCATGCCATCGTATGCACGTATAACTGTGTTGATCGATGCTCGTGATGTCAGTCTGTGATTCATGAGTACGACGTTAACCAACAAACAAACATAATCTGCTCCATTGTAGTTATTTTCGGATCCACCCCTCGTCCGCGTATGGAAACTGTTACACTCTAGAAAACTATGACTTCGTCAGCTTCCGGAGTGGCCCAGCCTATGGTAAGATAGTATACATTGTTTTTGCACAAAGCGTTGTAGATGAACTGATGTTCGAAATCATGATTAAATCAGAAAACCGAATATTCTTCTCCAAAGTAGAGGCCATTACTGTAATAACAACGGAAATGCAGTGATATCTGGCATTGCTTGACTTTATTAGGGTAGTAGGGTGTAAAACGGAACTACTACAGAGTCGCTATAATACGAATACCACATACCATGAAAATACGGACCATGTGGTGTTCTTTGGTATTAACTTTGTGTTTTCTGTACCTAGACTTACATGTGTTCTCATTCATATCGGCGTATAACCTGTTAACTACTGGCCTGTGGTGTCATTCTTCTGTATATTATTACCATACTTTGCTATTTGCAAGGTAGTACATGATGGTACGTCCCGTTTGAATCCGTACTTTCTAAGGCCTTCGGATTCAAACTCGCCGTACAAGCACATCATACCTGACAAATAGCCGTTAACGAGTGTATTTCATGGAGGTACATAGCCTAATATCTACTGTCATATGTTCTCATTAATCTGGATATACAAGCCTTTTACCCAATGACCTCCCTTCCTATTCATGGCGGTCTATACACCAATACCTTCTGTCCTATGTTCTCATTCATCTGAATATACACCAATACTGTCCTTACAGCCTTTACCCAATGACCTCACTTCCCATTCATCGAGCTACTCCTACATACACCAACATTTACAGTCCTATGTCCTATGTTCTCATTCATCTGGATATACAGCTCTTTCCCCATTGACAGCCCTTACCCAATGACCTCCCTTCCATGGTGGTATATACACCAATATCACTGCCCTTTGTTCTCATTCATCTATATATACAGCCCTTTACCCAAAGACCTTGTTCATCATGGAGGTATATACACCAATATCTACTGTCCTATGTTCTCATTAATCTATATACACAACCCTTTACCCAATGACCTGCTTTCATGGAGGTATATACACCAATATCTACTTGTCCTGTGTTCATGTAGGTCTGGAGCTGATACTGTTTTTGGAGACTGACGAGTACATATCAACAATTGCTTCCGGTATTGGGGCCCAGTTTCTTATACACGGCACAAACACTTGGCCAGACCCGGAAGTTGATGGGACATCGGTTTCAGCTACAATGGAAACGAATATAGGCATGCGCATGGTAAGTTCTAACTTACGTTTAGTGTTTCGGTTTCTCTGGTATAACTCAAGACTTCATTCACTGTATACACGTGACAGGTTTTTTCTGCTTATTTACTTAAGACTTACTCGGACGTGTTATTGTTGGATGAGTCCATGGAACAGCAAAGGAGAGGTTTGGTGGCAAGATAACAAGAATAATTATATTACAGTTGTGTAAAATCCAAATCCTTTCCACAGCCAGGTGTTATCATTGTCTACCCAGAATAGTTTGTGAATGTGCTTTGTTAAAATGTGTCATCGTATATGATGTAGCTAAATTATTTCAGGCACAGAATAGTAAATGACCCAATGCACATTTTCCTCCACTTAACCTTTATTTATGGTAAACATCTAGCCGATACTGCCTTTCTACATTTCACAACTTCAAGGCACAACCAAGAAGGCTGTTTCTACCTGGATGTCAAAGAGCGCCGTGCGACTAATGCTCAGTGGTTGTTTGGTCAGGCTTACAATATTCAAGTTATTGCCTCAAATCTTCTTATATATATGGTGGATGTATGAAAATGTTTATTTATATCAGAAACAAGACTTTGGCATCAGTGTTCACAATGTTGTCTGATGCAGTCCAATGTGATTGACTTGTTCCGGTTTTGTTCAGGTGAACAACTGACATTGACTTAGCATGTGTTAGTCGACTTTTCAAAAGAATTATCACATGGTCAAAATCGGACAATGGACTCTTCTATTATTAGATATATGTTTAATCTTATTCTTATGAAAACGATTTTTCTCTCTCTTGTAATCAACAAATTATTTAGCTGACGTCTGCATATTTCAGCTTGAGATTCACAGGCTGGGTGGGCTGTATGGTGATTGTGATGACGGCACAGCCTTCAAAGCTAGATATGGGATGGAATATACCAGGAAGGTACGAACTCGCCAGTCTGTAGTGTTTATGCGCTGCAGGGTTGCTGTTTCCAATTGTTATTCAGAGTAGATTAATTAGCATACGAAAAGGACTTTTGGTCCAGCGGACCTGAAAGACTAAAATACAAGAATGCCTTTTTCATGATTATTTCAATATGTTTATGAACATCCTTGAAACAATATTACAAATGCAGTTGCCAAAGACCTTTATGTATTACCTATGTTTGAAGAAGGTGATATAGATTTCGTATTGTTTAGTGATGAATCTGTAAGTATATATCTACTGTGTATATTTCAGTCTTGTCAGACATTCTGTGTGCACGAGAGAATCATCAACCGATGTGGTTGCTATGATGAACTTAAGGAAACACTGTATGAAAACATTAATAGCTCGATGCCGGGGAGGAAAGTTCACCCATGCCGGACCAGAGAAGGTATGTGTTCTGCACCCAGGTGCGTAGCAAACCATTTTCTTTCGTGTAAGCCCGATAGGCTGCAAAGCTTTATATTCAGATAGTATTGAGGGCTTGCCCCACGTTTTTTAGCAACAAGCCCGGGCGTTTTCTTTATAGTGGTAGCTACGCCCCTGACACATAGTGAACCCGGTACAGAATAGGTGCCCAGCTCCATGTTAGTGGGTTTCATAGTGATTCTGACACAGAACAGGTACCCGGTACACCAGGCTAGAGTAGTGTTGATATTCTGCCGCAGAAGAGATCCCCAGTATCGTATACATGTATCCTGAGAGTCATGACTGGAGCGAACTGAGGAGCGGATCTTAGAAATCAGCAAAGCCAAACACACAGATGGCAAAAAGGAATATAAAAAATTGTTTGCAGACCTTTAGTCACATATGGCAATGGTATAAAGCAGAGGCGTGTGGATACAGAACCTGCAAAACGATCATGTGATAACACATTCTCCTGAAGGCTGTGGTTTTGTTCTTCAGAAGCGGCGTGCTTACTTCAGATCGAGTCAAGATGGGAGACGGGCTTGTTCCAGTGCAATTGCTTCAACCCATGCCAGTATGTTGTCCATCCGCACAAGATAATATGTCATTCTCCTCTCTCAATTCATGACCATTCAGCCCATTATTGGCCCATCCGCGTCCCCTATCATATCAATTCTTTGATGCGCCATATCAGTTCTGGCCCAAGCAATAGTCAGATTAAGACACTGCCAGACTGAGGACAAGTACAATACATTGAGCCACCTCGCGAACAAAGCTGGTCATTTGACAAAAGTATCCAAATATTTTAATTCTTCTTATTCTTGCTAAAACTTTCAGTTTTTCAAACTACACTGTATTCATGGACCCATTTTTCTTTTTCAGTGAGACATTGTATGAGAAAACTACGCACACCCGCATGTGGCCTTCCGATGCGTATGCAGTAAGTTTATACATCCAGTTACACGTGCTGTCTCCGGACACATCACACGTTCACACGTGGGAATGTGCGTGGGTGTTTTTCACAACAGCGACAACAGCGTATATAGATATATACTTGTGATGAACACAAAGTGAGGCATAAAATGCGTTATAACCTTGTCCAACCCATGTTTTTGGTAATATCTCAAGACAACCAGTCATATTTACCTGTGGAAAGGTAACATGAGGCCAGTTAATATATATGTAGGACCTTAAACGAAGTTGGAATAATAACATTGTGAACTAAAACCAAACGAAAACTGATTAAATCTTTGAGAAATTTAGTGAATTGTGACCACTACAATATATATTGCATAATATTGCATTGTAATGCACATTGTAATTGTTTACAGAGTATGCTGGTTCAGTACTTATGCAACAACAAGAACGAAACCGAGTGCGAACGTTTTGAAAAAATGGCTTCTCGGGAACTCATGTGAGTAAGCTGTCCATTAGAGGTTGTATCAGAGACGGACATTGAAGATTTGACCTGTGTTTTTATTGTTGATATGTAATAAATGGCTAAATTGTTGCAATGAAATGTTTTAAGTACACGACTGCTCAGAACAGAGTTTTTCACGGTTGATTCATGCTTGTTTATGAGTGAGTGAGTGAGTTTGGTTTTACGCCGCTTTTAGCAATACTCCGGCAATATCAAGGCGGGGACACGAGAAATGGGCTTCACACATTGTACCCATGTAGGGAATCGAACCCGGGTCTTCGGCGTGACGAGCGAACGCTTTAACCACTGGGCTACCCACCTCCCCGCGTGTTTATGAAAACGAACGTTGGTTGGAAAACAACACCAAGTATAGATCTAGCTCGCTCACGCTGACAATAGAATTCATCAGTTTATATGTTACATTGACACTTGTTTTTACATTTTCAGTCGAAACTTCATGAAGATCAACATTTTCTTTGAAGATTTAAACTTTGAAAATATAACAGAAACACCAGCGTATGAGGTATGTTTATAATTCATTGGTAAGGTCAGTAGACGATCTTATTGGATGCTCTCAATAATAATATCCATATTTATATAAAAAAAATTATTTTTTCAATTAAATGTGTGTTTGACCGGGCCTGTTCATACAGACACCCACACACGCTGCTACGTCGAGGTGCGAGATAATGATCGCCACTCACAATTACAGGTGTCGCGAAGTAGATATAATTTAGGTTTTTGTAGCATTCCTCGAACTTTTTCAGTAATAACGATACCATAATATCAATACATATATAAAAACACATGACTGTGACACTTGCTAAAAGTTATTATTAAAGAAGTGCTACATAAGAATAACCTAATATCAATAACATTGTTAAACGTAATAACTTACCAATAATATTTTCGAACTGAACGAGAATGATCTTCATTTGCGAATATTATTGCGAATTATATTGATCACACTAAAAGGCAGTATTGTAAAGATATAATTGCATATTTTATGTAAGTAGGTGATACAGATATAAGAAGATAATAGAGTTCGCATAGAAGGAACTACTTTGTTGATTCCAAATGTTACTGAGTGCATAAGTAGATAATATGTTTATGAGTGTATTTCTTATTTTAGGATGTTCAATTTTATTCCGACATCGGAGGCACGGTAGGTCTGTGGGTGGGGCTCTCAGTGCTGAGTCTGGCTGAAGTGCTTCAGTTCCTGTGGGAGGTCATCCAATACCTGTTCTGTTGGCGCCGATGGAAGAAGAAGAAACCAGAACAGACTGCAGACAGGTCCAACTTGGACAAACAGGTACGAGCACAGGTGTCATCGAACCTGACCACCAGATTGCCATCCACGTACAGGGGAAATGCCTTATACTGAGGACGACGCGACAGGCAAATTGTCAGCGTGTGAGTTAATCAGTACTTGAGTGAGCGTTACATCATACGCCAGCTGATGCCATACGCAACAATAATGTAGGTCTCACATTACACTGTTCCTGACTATTGTTAATCCTAGCAATATTGATGGTATTGATACCGAATTATAACTGTGACTCACTTCAGAAAGGGTAACACAATCGTTTTAACTCGGAGGAAAACCAACGATTTCAGTCTGATCGACGACCAGCAGCGAAAGCATGATTACATCTTCCAAACAGTTGATCTTCCGGAAGACTTGACTAACTTTGGTCATCAAGTAAGATCTCTGATGTTAATGATTGGGGTTCATAGACCTACTTTACAAGGAAAAAGAGAAGTGGGCATAGACAACTTTGCCATCTCGCCAGGGTTCGGCACTTGAGATCTCAAGTCTCTGTGTGTGACAACCGTCGACTATTTGGAGCCTTGTCTCTGTGTGTGACAACCACCGACTATCTGGAGTCTTATTTCAACAGGGATACATTGATATGCAACTTCGTGACTTATGCTCAATCTTCTATTGTGGGTCGAAGTCGCATTGACATCTGTGAATATACCGCGCATCTACCGTGTCAAGTGAACCTGTACGGATTAAGGAGTTTCTCCATTTACATAATGTGCATTGTCATTTTGTATATTTGTATATGTCGTGCTATTGTAAAACCATATACAATAATATATTCGACTTGTTGTTGAATACTGTTTGATACTCTATGTTTTATAGACAAACAAACGGGAATTAAATCATTTGATTGCAGTGATCTGATTTCTTTTTCTATAGACTGATATCAAAATTGTTATTGTTGAACTCAACAATATTTTCTGATGTTGTAGTGATGCATTTCTACCTTATAACAGGGATGGGGTGGGGCGCAATCCATCTGAGGTGGTGTGTGGACTTGTGCACAGAGCAGAGGTCACAAATCAGTTGAAGTTAAGCAACGTTGATTATGGAGAGTTCTTGGATGGGTGAGCGTGTTTGGCAGCTTGACTCCTGAGGTTTCTAGGACTTAATGCGCATTATAAATGGACTATTATTATTATTATGTTCTACAGATTAAGATGAAAATGCAGCAGAGAGGGTTCGGACGATCCTGGCACAGTCAGGCTGGTAAGGCGCATCATCAGCTCATGGCCATTGCCTCCTCTACGCGCAGCCCAGACAGCAAATGGGACTTCTCCCAGGAAACGCTGCCTAGTCGAACCCACCAAGAACTTTCCGGAGAATATGAAGGCTCCCCAACACTGCAGCCTTCTGCATTACCCAGAGTGTCAGAAGGGCTGTGCTCCCGGTGGAGAACCCGGACACTCTCCTGATCTGTGCCAAGAGTTCAGGAGGTACCAAACCAAGGGCACCGAGAACAATGGGGATCCTGACGACAGTGTACTTGGGATGCAAGCGAGACATTTCAAAGGCGAGGTCCGCATATTTATCATGCTTTTCCTGAATCTTGCCAATCACATTGCTGTCAAAAGGGACAGAAAATTCAATGATATAAATAAATTCATTGGCTTGATCAAAAAGGACAAGATCAGGTTTGTTGGCAGGAATTCTTCTGAGGCTGTATATGGGCCTATTCCACAGAAGTTTGAAAGCATCATTTTCCGTGACGCCCTGGACATGTTCAGGGTCGTACCATGGATGGACCTCGGAGTCAAAGCCACAGACATGGCGGAGACGGTAGTAAAAGCAACGAGCCATGCCATCGTGGCTGTTTGTGCCAAAGAAGGGCATCCACTGACAAGGTGTTGGACAGTCTCTGTAAATTCATTACATAGTCGACATTCATATTGATATTTTCTTTAAGAATCACATTTTGGCGATTACGAGTGGGCAGTGACTGGTCCTGAGCAGCAAAAAGGAAGCCCTCAGTTTCACATTTAAGACCAGCCGACTTCATCCAGGCGAAGGAGTCGTTGGGATTGCTATTCTGTTCCACACACTGCATGTAGACACGATGCAATTTTTTCTCAGAAAGCTTCTCCACAAATGACCGACTCTGGGCAGACTTGGTGAAGGACTTCACCTGGTTTACTCCCATCGTTGTACCGTCCAGCAGTACATCGCCATCAACAAAATCAGCATCAAATTTCAGATTCTGTCAAACAACCTTAGCACGATTAAAATAGCTGTGGAATTCTTTGCTTTCATCATGAGTCTTGACATGCATCACCAGAGGATCATCCGATAAATAAATATGTGCAAAAGTACACAATAAAATTCTATCATGAAGAGCCTCCACATTAATCAAACCCCGACCTGCAGAATTGATTGGCATATATAAACGGTTAAGAGAGGAACGAGGGTGGTGGGCTCTGTTATCAGACATGATCCTTCTGGTCAGGCGGTCAAGACTCTGGATGTCTTGTTTTGTCCAGTCAACTACGCCAAAGGAATAGGAAAGGACTGGCACAGCAAAAGTATTGGTGGCTTTGACCTTGTTTCGAGCATTTAGCTCTGAGCTCCAGATTTACTTTAAACGAGTTTTGTACTCGGCCCGAAGTTTGTCTTGAATTTGGGCATTCTGGAACTTGTCTCGAACTTGCATTCCAAGATAGGTGTAGGCCTGATCTTCCACAAGATGCTCAATAACTCCTCCCCCTGTAACTTGACCGATCCACCATTAACTACCTTGCCACGTTTCAAATGAAGAGTATTACATTTGTCGAGCCCAAATGTCATGCCAATATCATTAGAAAAGGACTCGACAAGGAGAACCTGTTCTTTCAAATTGGTATCTCCTTTGGCAAGGAGCTCGATGTCATCCATGTAAAGGAGATGAGTAAGCGGTGTTGGGGATCTGTGCTGAGGAGGTCCGGGATGGTAACCCTTCTCTCTGTTGAGCAGAAAGCTCAAAGGATTTAGAGACAAACAAAAAAGCAAAGGACTGAAGGAGTCCCCCTGGAAAATTCCCCTTCTGATTGGAATAGATTCCGAAGTCTGCACCTGCCCTTGCGAGTACATCTCAAGTTGAGTCGACCAGCAACTCATTAAAGACTTGAGTAAATCAAGTAGTCGCTCCGGGAGGTCAATACAACAAAGAGACTTCAGAATCCATTCATGAGGGACAGAGTCGTATGCTTTTTTTGTAGTCAATCCAGCACATGGAGAGGTTGCGGTGATATGTTTTAGCCTCTTCCAAAATCATTTTCTGTACAAGAAGTTGATCCTTGCACCCCCAACATCCCTTTCTCACCCATTTCTGCTCTCTGTAAATTATATCATTGGAAGAGCAGTAAGATATTATTATTATTATTATTATTATTATTATAATAATATTATCACTGTTGTAAAGGGGCATGCAGTCATTCACTGTTGTACAAGTACGTTCACCGTTCAGGGGCACACAGCCATTCTCTGTTATATGGGCGTAGAGTCTTTCACTATCATAAAGGTACATGCAGTCATTCACTGCTAGCAGATTCAATATTGTACCGAGGTACATAGTTATCATATAGGGGTACAGTCAATCACCAATAGAAACTGTCACTGTGATATACGCATGCATCCAATGACTCATAAGGATATATCCACTGGCGCCATGACGTCAGTCAGGGATGTTATCTTATATTCGATCACGACCCGTGATGTTATATGTTGGGGAACATCGCGACTGAATGTGTCGGCGCACCCAAATACTCTTCGTGAGTCAAATAAACCCGAAATCACATGCAATAATTTCTAGACATATATCTACGTATGACTGTCACCACTGTGCTGGAATGTTGACTTGACGAATCACTCAGCAGTCATCCTGGGAAAGAGATGTATAACTCACCTCTTGTTTACGACAGAATATTTTTGCCTTACCTGCGCTTGGCTAAACAAATAAACCCATTATGTTTCTATGGCAGTACATTTGCACCACGGGAGTGAAAAGCTGTAACAGGCTCGCCACAACCAAAGTAGGTAGGTAAATTCAAAGGGCCTTTGTGGGATAAATAAAGAGTGGTTCATTGTCGATACACCTCTTTCCGCGGCTGATTGGGTTCATTGGATGTTGAACGCTGTTACCATTTGAATTGGCGTATTGGATGGGGGATGACGCAGCTGGATGGCAAACAACATAAACATTTTCATACAGGTAGGTCTGCCCTGACCTTGTGGCCACAAAACAACACTCCTGTAGATCGCACAGTTCACAACCGTTGCCTGAAGGCCCAAGTGATCTTCAAATCCTTGTGATTCAATCTGAGTGTGTATATTATGTAGTTTACAGTGCGATATGTGCTACATGTAATCTGCAACTACCATGGTAACAGACTGACACTCATGTATGTGGTAGATATTAATATCACCAATGTTGGGGAAACTTTACTATATATGTCTGTCTGGTATGTTAAAGGACGCGTTCCCTGGAGTTCCAATCATATCGAGGAGGTTATAATGTGTGATGCGCAGAGTCAGCCCGGTAGTTCAACCGTAAGCTTGTCACGAACATCCTGGTCTGATAATCGACCTCAATACACTGCATGAACCCCATTTCAGGTGTTGCGTGACTATTAAAAACGGTGGTAAACACATACTTACTCTCATATCTTAATGTTGGAATAGGCAAACGCACCACGTTGATTTATATGATTTGGTCTGGTTGTTGTTTAACGCTGCACTCAGCAATATTCCAGCTATATGACGGCGGTGTGTAAATAATCTAGTCTGGACCAGACGACCCAGTTATCAACAGCATGAGCATCGTCCTTAGCATTTGGGATACGATGTGTCAACCAAGTCAGCGAACCTGACCACCCGATCCCGTTAGTCACCTCTTACGACAAGCATCGTTTGCTGTAGATCAAGGACAACCCGATCGTCAGGGGTCTGATATATATGAAAGTGATAAAGTTACGTTATGTTATTAAAGACAGGATACAAACATAAGTACGTGAATTTTATAATTTGTAACGATTACTCGTGGATTTTGTTACACACATATAACGAATAAGACACCGTTATTATAACGTCCTAAT